AGCCACCACCCATTAAAGAGCTGCAGTTGATAAAACTAAAACATGTGACCTGAACATTATCAAACAACTGTTTTGGAGAGAAGAGTAAGAAACTGATTCCCTCCTCCAACATCTCTGAAGCAACTGGCCGATGTAGAAACAGATGTCAATTGCTTTAGTACTCCTTTATCAATACAAGAAAATTCAGCCATTGAATTCTAAAAACTTCAATAATTGTTGTAAATGTACTGTAGCATGAGTAGTTGTAAAACAAAATGCCCTTTGCTGTCCCTGCATACATACATGGTTGAACAACAATGTTTGACTTGGATCATGTTTGACTAATTTTTTAATTAATCATATTAATTGACTCCTGCCATAATTCATGTTTAGCCACAGAATGCGTTTTTAATCTTACTGGTCAATAACAAAAAATTATGTCCCACAAACAAATCAAAATTCTGACCAGGTTGGTTGGAAACACACAAGCTAACCTACCAACTCACATGATACTAAAGCAGTGTTTCTCAGCCCTGGTCCTGGGCGCCCCCCAGCACTGCACATTTTGTGTGTCTCCCTAATCAAACACACCTGATTCAACTCATTAACTCATTAAAAGAAACTCCAGGACCTGAAATGGGTGTCAGATAAGGGAGACATACAAAATGTGCAGTGTTGGGGGGCGCTCAGGACCAGGGTTGAGAAACACTGTACTAAAGCATATGCTGCAGAACAAAAATTATTATTATTATTATCAAGATTGGAGACTTAACCCCTCCAGTAAGAAAGTGTAAGATGCAAATCAGTGTACCTTTGATTACTGCCTGTACTATTGACTTCTGTGGAATGGATTGTGAAGTCCCCTTTCACAGACGTGATGCTTATTCCTTTACTCGTTGTCTTCTGAAAGTCATGTTCATGATATTTTACTTGCAGAATCTTGTGCGTGTGTAAGCTGTTTGTGGGTGGGGTGTGTGCTTCACATAGGAACAGTGTAATGTTCACTTCTGACCACATCCTGAAAACATTTAAATTTTAGTGGCACAGTTTGCACCAAACTCAGGCATTTGTTTCCTTTAACCTGAGATTTAATAGTATCGTTTTTAATCAATTTTGCATAATTAATGAACTGATAATTAATTAATTAATATATAGCTATAATAAAACTATGGAGCCAGATCAGCCTCAAAAATAATACATTTGCAAAACAAAATTCATAAATGCACAGCACAATTTACATTTACAAAATCCGATTCGTAAATTCAAAACACAATTCATAAATACACAAGTAAAAGCATAAATATTTCCCCAAATGCTCACACAAATGCATCTTACCTAAATCAATTTAAAATGTTTACACAAATATGTATATATACGTTTCTTGAATTAATTTCCATCACCCATTTATGAATGATGTTACATGTATTTATGGATCGTTGAATCTGCATTTGCAAATCGTCACATGTGCGTGGCCGCACACAAATTCAAAGCAGTCCACGCACATGTGATGATTTGCAAATGCAGATTCAACGATCCATAAATACATGTAACATCATTCATAAATGGGTGATGGAAATTAATTCAAGAACTTGATATATACATATTTGTGTAAACATTTTACATTTATTTAGGTAAGATGCATTTGTGTGAGCATTTGGGGAAATATTTATGCTTTTACTTCTTTGTTTATGAATTGTGTTTTGAATTTACGAATCGGATTTTGTAAATGTAAATTGTGCTGTGCATTTATGAATTTTGTTTTGTAAATGTATTATTTTTGAGGCCGATCTGGCTCCATATAAAACTGACATAAAAATGATTAATCTTTGTGTATGCATTTAAATATTTTTCAGTGAGTAAGCCATTTTGAGTGATCACCTGTGCTTTTTTCATTACATAATATTAAGCCACTCTTAAGTAGAGCCTTTCTCTCTCTCTCTCTCTCTCTCTCTCTCTCTCTCTCTTGTGCCCTGCTCATGTGAATGAGAAGGTGTTTTACCACTAGGTGGCACCCAAAGACCTGTGCTGCTCTTTCTGCCTGTTAACCCCCTTAGATTTTCTCATGGTATGATGTGTGTGTATGTATAAAAGTATGTGTATATATGTATATGTATAGATTAGGGTGTGACACCATGACTTTCCAATATTGAACTTTTTCACAATATTCTAATTTTCTGAGACACTGAATTTTGGGTTTTCATTATCTGTAAGCCATAATCATCAAAATTTCAAGAAATAAAGGCTTGAAATATTTCACTCTATGTGTAATGAATCTATATAATATATGGGTTTCACTTTCTGAAATGAGTGACAAAAAATATTGACCTTTTTCATGATATTCTAATTTTTTGAGATGTACCTGTATATATGACAATTGTATCAGTTGAATTGCTGTTACAGTCCTTGTATAAGTTTAATAGGTTTCTACTATATTTACACAGTGGATGCAGTTCATTACAAATGATCCCAGCTATGATTACAGTACATAGAATATGTGTTTGCACTTAGAAAAGGACAGAAAGAAACTAGCATGTATTCGTGTGAGCAATTTAGAGCCCACTGATCATAAACACATGTACTCTTGAAACACAACAGAACATAATTAAATTACATGCTTTACTTTTTTAAAATTACATTTTATTTGCTATACTATGTATAGAAGCAATGCAAACACAGCTACAACACCGTAGGTTAAATGGATTATTGTTAACTGACACTTTACAATAAGGTTCAATTTGTAAACATTAGTTGATGCCTTAGATGTCATGAACTAACAGTAAACAATTATTTTACTGCATTCATTAATATTGGTTAATGTTAGTTTTTTAAATATAGTAATACATTTTGTAACATTTCAAGCTGTATAAATTAAAATGAGTTCATATGTAATAAGCATGAAATAACAATGAACAATAATACTTATAAACTAATTTTTAATGTTTTTAAATTATTTAATTAACCTAGATTAATAAAAATGTTGTTTTTTGTTAGTTCATGATGCACTAAATAATGTTGAAGGGCATGTTAACTATTTTTGTATGGTCATTTTTTTAAATGAAATGAAACTTTTATTTAAAAAGGTAGTGTTTCTGATGAATATCGAAAATAAATGCACAGATATACTCTGCTCTGTTCACAGCACAGTATTAGATTTTCTTTAACTTTGCTGTGCACATGTAAATATTCACATTCTTGCATAATAAAAAAATATTTGCTGTACATTTAGACATGGCTTATATGTTTTCAAAACATTTATAGCACCACTTTATCTGTTGTTTTTGATAGTTTGACATCCTGAGCCTTTGTCATAGGCACAACAGCATTGACATTTGGCAGCTCTTGTGGAGTGTCAATAGAACTGATCAGTCCTTTGGCATTTTGCTGACAGAAGCTATTACAGATGATCTTTAGCATCACTTTGCGAATAGAACTACAGAACAAAAAGTACATGACTGGATCCAGACAGCTATTAAAGGCAGACAGTAGCAGAACTACTTCATTGGTTTTATCCAACACACTTATCCACTCGCAAGAGGTGTCTTTTGCTATCTGTGACATGATATAGAAAATCCTTACAGAGTGGTAGGGCACAAAACATATAGTGAAGAGGAAAAGCACAAAGAAGGACTTCCATGCTGTTTTGTTGTACTTGGCAGCATTTGGGAAATCCGGTTTCTTTTTGGAGGTTGTTAGGAGGTTCATTCCGATCCTTCCGTAGGAGATTACCAACGCACCGTAGACCAGCCAAAACATACCCACGATGGCAAAGTTGAAATAGGCTTTCCATTTGGATTCATGCAGTGTTTTGTATTGGAAGCACTGTTGGGATTCACCATGCTCTGCATTCAGGACAATGAGGCAAATTCCACAAACAAATGCCACAGCCCAGATGACACCGCAGAGAAGCACACTCCATCGGCTATGCAGGAACACCCGCCTACAAGATGACCTCTGGAGCTTCAGATAACGATCTACACTAATGAAGCCCAGTAAGACTATACTAATGTACATGTTAATGTAAAAGATAATGCCCACCATCCTGCACAGTAATGGCGGCAGCACCCACCGGTCATTGTTGGAATGGTACACCACTCGGAAAGGCAGGCAGATCACGAGGAGCAAGTCAGCCAGAGCCAGGTTAATGAGGAATATGCGAACTGAGTTTTTCTTCGGATGTACTCGCAGAAACACCCAGAGAGCCAGCAGGTTCCCAGACAACCCGAACACGAAGAAGAGTGCATAGAAAATAGCCAGTGGGACCTGCAAGTTGGTGTTGTCCATCTGGCAGTTTGACTGGGGAATTTTCGACATGGTGGTCGGCGATGCGATGGGGAAAAATTGAGGATTGTTTTTTGTCATTGCATGTGTATATATCAGACCTTAGAAAAAAAAACAGCAGATGGCATTATAGTACTTACAAAAGACATCAAGTTTTAATGCCATGAAATGCAACAGGATGCACACTATAGGTAATTGGAGAGTAACTTACCTTGTGAATTTAGTCCATCAGAGAACTTCTCTGTTGTGTTTCCTTTTGAATGTCTCTGTCTAATCTCAATTCAGATCTCTCTTTGCAAGCTTCCTTTTTTAGTTCCTCTAAACTCTTGCGTACCTCAAAGCACAGCTGTGCACCAGTTAGCATTAAAACAAAGTGTGCAGGCACTTTTAAAGGGGGGAGAGCATCTCAAACCACATTTCAACTCCTCCTTACATGACGTGATCACCGAAACAGATAGATGAGGGCTGTTGAACAATTAAAACAATCATTTTATATAAATATTTAATCATGATTATATTATCTTATTTTAAAAATGTTTTACTCATGGGTGATACTCCACTTGTTGAGCTTTGATAATTGCACATCAGTCATATTATTTCATTAAATGGTGTAATGATGTTGGACACACACACACACACACACATACATATATATATGTATAGAAGTTTCATTTTCCTTGACTTCTAATTTCAATTCCAGTGTGGTCTGTGCAGCAGAGTAACATGTCTTTTTTGTTTTTCAGCCTCATTGTGTGTTGCTGGCATCAAAGGAGAATTCTGCTCCGGTGAAACTTGGTGGCTTTGGTGTGGCTATACAGCTGGGAGAGTCCGGATTAGTAGCTGGAGGTACTTGGAAAAATTCTGTTATAGGTTAAACTTGTAACACATGGACATTTCCTGTGTACCTGCACTGCATGCTAAGGGCTTTAGTGCATGCATACAGAAACTTCTAGGCAACAAGATTCATATGTAGTAAAAGCATGTTATTGAAGCACAAACTTTATAGGAAATAACTTATTTTAATTTATTTTGGCTTGAAGAACTGAAACTCTTCAGAGTAAGGTTTCATTTGTATCACAAAGACTAATCATGGATTCAGTTCCTTATTTTATGTGTAGGACATAACTCTCACTCAGTATCACTTCATAAATTGAGTCATGAATTTTGAATCATTCAGGCAATTACTTTGTTCTGATTAATGAGCTCTCTTGTGCTTAATTGTTCAAACCTTGTATCAGCGACAACTCTTTTGTATGTATTTGAATGGATGCTCACATGTCACATGTCGTCTGTGCTGCAGGCCGGGTGGGCACTCCACACTTCATGGCCCCTGAGGTGGTGAAAAGAGAACCCTATGGGAAACCTGTGGATGTTTGGGGCTGCGGAGTCATCCTGTTCATCCTCCTGAGTGGCTGCCTGCCCTTCTATGGCACCAAAGAGCGCCTGTTTGAAGCAGTCATAAAAGGAAAATATAAGGTAGAAGTTTAATAGCAAAGTCTGTTAAGATTAAATAAAGACATGCTGGGAATATCCTCAAGGCCTTCAAAAATTGGCTGAAGTGAGGTGAAAGCGGCAACATATACTGATTTGTTTAAGGTCTGAGGCAAGACAGCTACTTAATACATATACATCACTTCCAATGGTTCAGCATTTGGTCCATCCCTATCTCATCAGTGCATTGGAGCCAGTGTCCTATATGGCTCCTTTTCATTTGTCTAAACTGAATAAAGACATTTTAGGGCTTGAAAAATTGGCTGCACACTGACCTGATCTCAAATCAGGAACTACTAACATCAGATTATATTCTCACCACATAAACTATTCAAAACAACTTCAGATAGTTCCAGTTCTCTAATTTGGTCAGAGAATGATAGCTAAGATTGTTGATGGTCTTTTTTTTGGTTGAATTTTTGGGTGATTTTTTTCCATTAAAATAAATACTATAAGTGAATTAAGTTCGACCTAAATATTTTTGTCCTTAGTCAGCTTTCCACACAATTTGAAGTGGATGGTGATTTTAAACGTAGCATAAAAGTGGACCGTACTAGACCCCAACATTCAAAATCTTCTGAAGCCATTTGTTGATTTTTTTGTGAAGAACAAACTAAAATTTAAGTCATTAATACTAAGTGTCATCATTGTCAATGGAAACATTGGCAGGTTCTGAGCTATCAGAGGATCTGGGTTTGTCCATTTATGATGCATTTGCTGTGCAGATGAATCCTCGGCAGTGGGGCCAAATCTCAGAGAGTGCCAGAGACCTGGTGCGCCGTATGCTGATGCTGGACCCTGCAGAGAGGATCACAGTATATGAAGCTCTCAACCACCCCTGGCTCAAGGTATCAACAGCATTCAGGAAACATCTGCTTATCTGATCTTACTGATGTTTTGTTCATGTATTAATCTGATTGCTAAATAAAATTATTACAAATATTTAATTGTGAAGCAAAAATTATGTAAATAATGTTTTATTATTATTATTATTGAAACAGTCATACTGTTTCATACATTTTTTCCCAGCTTTGAGGATTTTATGGACTTGGGATGTAATTCCTTAATGAGATGAGTAAGCACCATTTGAAGTGTGCATTTCATTTTAGGAGAGAGACCGCTATGCCTACAAGATCCACCTTCCTGAGACAGTCGAGCAGCTGAGGAAGTTCAATGCCAGGAGGAAACTAAAAGTGAGGCATCAGCACTTTACAGTCTCTGCATATTGCTTTAGCAGCTGCTCCCGTGCACGATTCACATGAATGTTCTGCCGTGTAAACTAAAGACCACAAATAAAAAATTAGGGCAGCCACAGGAAATTAAAGCACATGAGTTGATCAATATCTATGGTTTGACAGGGTGCAGTGCTTGCCGCAGTCTCCAGTCACAAGTTCAACTCTTTCTATGGCGACCCACCTGAAGAACTGCCTGACTTCTCTGAGGACCCTACTTCATCAGGTACTACAACGACCAGCAGAGATCAGATGCCACCCACTCTGTCTTCCTGGAGAGATGCTTTTTTGAGATTTGTAGTCTCTTATGACAGTGTTTTGGCTACTTTGATGTTATCTTTCTGACAGAGAAAAAGATTAAGCTTGTTAGTAGCATGCTTAAACAAGCATAACAGTCAGTATAGCCCACAATTTAGGGATTCAAAAAAAAAACTGGTCTCAATAACTCATCTCGCTGCAGGCTATGAAATAGACAAAAAAAATCACATACAATTGCACTGAGAGAGAAACATGAGCAGGAGGGTGAGAATATCATTAAAATTTAGGGTGGGCACTTTTGACTTGAAGCAGTGAGAAAATGCCCTAGGAACTGCTTAGCAATAGCCTGACAACTACCCTGTCATCATGCTGGGGAGCTCTGCATAGGCAATCACCATTCAATTTTTTTGTCTTCTTTAAATAGACCTTACAGTGTACATTTAACATACTCTCAAACAAACCACCAATGGTTTGGTTTAGAATCTGGTTCATGTTTCCTGTTTATTTCTCATATCATCTGTGGTAACGGTCCTTTTTTCCACAACACTTAACACAGGATTTAATGAGTCACAATTTTTAATAAAAAGTTTCCCTAGTATATCCTTTAAGATATACACTTTCATAAAAAAGGTACAAAGCTGTCACTGGGGTGGTACCCAAAAGCTAAAAGATACATCTTTGTACCTTATTTACCCCTAACTGCTACATATTAGTACCTTACAGTGCCATATGACAGGGTACCACCCCAGTGACAGTTTTGTACCTGTTTTTGATAGTGTACTTGGAATATCATTTGAATGTTCATTTGTGAGTAGTTCTACACAAACTGATTGTTTTAAGTGTGGGTGAATCATATCTCTATTCACATCACAATCAACTCTGTTTTGTTAAATTATGTTTGTTGCTTGTTTCTTTGCTGGCCACCCTGCAGGACTACTAGCAGAGGAAAGTAGGTGTCACCGTCTGTCCCCTTACAGACTTAAGTGTTTGCCTGCTTCTTTCAAATCAAGTTAATGCTTTTCCTGGGTATTTAAAGGTCACGGTGTGTGGTCAATTGTGTTTGTGTGTACATGTAAAGGGGCTGTGTCACAAGTGCTAGACCCCATAAAATTCTTCCTTCATTAAAGGGGTCATGAACTGCCTTTTTATTATTTTGTACTATTCTCTGAGGTCCCCTTATAATGTTATCAAGATTTTTAAATCAAAAAACATAATTTAGAAGTAAAAAGCTATTTTCTGTCCTGTTTTTTAATCCCCCCCTCATCAAAACGCTCTGTTTGAATTGGCGTGGCGGATTGTACTGTAGACTCGGAAGTAAACACCCACTGCTATGATTGGCTAACAGTTGTGTATGTTTGACAGCCTACATCCTTCACAGATGGACGCTGCTGTGATTTAGGTTAAAACCACATAAATACTCAGAACATATCAAAGGATCTGTTTAACAGACAAAGCAATAGTGATCACGTAATAAAAACTCACACTCACAAGTTACTTGTGTGTTGCGACATTACTGTCGGATCCAGCATTGTCTTTTAGTTTCAATATTTTTGAAAATCAAATTGTGCCTTGTTTGTAAACGAATCTGCGGTAAAATGAAGCGAACAAGGGACCAAGTTCTTACTGATGTGGTCTGGATCTTCATTGAAAATAAAGCTTATCCACTCTTTCCTAACGTTGGGATCAGAAGGAAGGCAATGCAAAGACTGTGTTTTTGCACAACTTGACACTGCACCGCGTCTTGTCTTCAGAGTCATCTTTATTGTTTGGTTTCTGCGTAGACCTGCGTTTGCCTCTATTTCTAACTATTTACACTACATGCACGAATTGGTGGGCGGGGCTAAACAGGCACTTCAGACTCTTCTGCGGAGGCGGTGTTTAGCCACACTATTACATCATAAAGTGGCACAATCCACAACCTGTCGTTTTGGCAGATTGGCTTCGATATAAGCAGTTTTAGACTAACAAGAAGGTTTTGAGTTGTTTTTATAGTACAATGACCTCTTATATGTCAAAAGATTTTGATTTCTCAGTTCATTACCCCTTTAAACCACATAATCTGATGTGTTAAGATGCTGTTAAATCTTGCTTTGATCTTTTCAGAAGAAAATGTCACATTAGGATTTTTTTTCTTCTTTATTTTTTGCTTTTGATAAATCGGCAACAACCTAGTCTTAGCCTTGGACCATTCACAGACCTTCTGATGCATATTGCACACAAAAATGGCAAGAGTTCACTGAAACTGCTGTTCCAATCTGATTAACTGGCTTTTACACAATTTTTGGGGATATCAGTTTGTACAGGTTTCTAGATTAGCTAGATTTAAAAGAGTTGACATATTAATTTTTTTAACATTTATATTACCTTTGCCTTAATGTAATGCTCAAAGTAATATTTAAGTTAATATTTGAAAACATTACATTTAATAAAAAACATGAACGTTTAATAACACTGTTAAATGCAAATCTCAAACTGATTATTCATTTATCATACTGTACATTATAATGTTGTGAAGCCTGAATTCACTCATCATCATTCATACATCATTTCACATTTTATAAACTATTAGCCATAATTTTGGCCATGCAATGACCAGTCTATGCAGGTTGGATTTGGTTTCTTGGCCTTTAGGAGCGATTTGTGTTTTGGTTTTAGGACAACTTTGATGAAAGGTTTTGATCTACTTCAAATGTTCACTAATGTACTTGAAATAATTAACCATAACTAACTTTAAGTTTTTTTTCTGAGTACCACAGCTGATCATTAAAAAATGTCAGTAGACCAATTTCAGAATTTTCAGTGTCGTCTTTTTTGTTTATTTCAGAGCTCAATAGACTTTCATTCATTGTTCTTTGTTCATTCATTGCATCTTTCAATGCATGTCGCATGAGTCTTTCTGTATTATGGCGTTAAGCGTTTTTTGTCTGTGTGAATAAGTGCAGCTGTGGATTCTCCCCACTTTCTCTATGTTTGTGTGTGTGTGTAGCTGTGTACCAAGGCCTCTATAGAAAGGCGTACAGCTTGGTACAATCCAGTGTGGATGATAGGGCCTGTCTCCATAGCCACAGGCCAGAGGAAAGCACAGAGGAGAGCACGCCCCTTATGCCAGTGCTCTGTGGGTAAGATTATCAACAGGAGGCTGTGAATGCACGTCGTCCCATTGAGAACTCAACTCCTATCCTGAATAGGGAGGGAAACAATAGCACCTATTGTCAGCCTAGATGCATTTTCACTGTTGCGGCTCCAGCAGTATCCGTCTATCAGAAGAGCAGCTCCAGACTTTGCCATCCTCTCCATTCAAGCTCTGTGTGTAACTCTACCTTCATGAAACAGGACAGAGGGGTTGAGATCCTATCGGGACCAACTTTGTCTGGAGTTTAACTTTGGTTTTGGTTGGTTTTTCTTTGGATGTGGTGAGTAACCTTGGGTATTATTTTCTTAGACAAACACGTTCTTTAGAAAGCATATTCCTTGTTGCTGGAGGTGTAGCAATTTTTCGCTTCATGTTACCCTGAAATTTCTGTTCTGTTTTTGTCATGTTGTGAAATGCAGATTAATATATGTAAAGAACTGATACCCTGTGCACAGCACTCACAAATAGTGCACCATGCATGTTTTATAGATGTGTGAACATGGTATTTTTCTTGTGACGTGGTCTGTCTTCTCAAGAACCACATATTAAAGGATGTGGTTTGCAGGATCATTTATATTCAAATAAATCACAACACGCTACAGCTGACTGACGTCCAGAAGAATGCACCTGCAGAACACTGGAAAACATCTGTTAATAAGTTGATTAAAACTGTTGAGAACTGTATTCCTCATCTCTGAATGAAAATGTATTTAATTATGCATCCCTTTTAATGATTAACATTTTGCAGGAGAAACTATAACCTAGCTGTTCAGTTGTGATGTCAGTTTATTGGCTCTAAACAAAAGGAACACTGTTAGTGTATTGTTAATGTTTGTGGATGAGAAAAGGTTCACATCTTATTGATTCTCCTTTACTCAAGAAGCAGAACATATTACCCAACATATTGGCTTGTTATTAAACATTGATTATAATAATGTTTAGTTTTGTTTTGAGCAATGATGAATTTCTAAGGATCCTGATGTGTCTTTGCATGCTGCAGTGTTTTAATAGAGCAAAGAAATCTTGTGATTGTTCATTTATCTATTCTCCCTTTTTCAGCTGTACGACAAGATAAACACTAAGTCTTCACCACAAATCAGGAATCCTGCAAGTGACGCAGTTCAGAGAGCCAAAGAGGTGAGTGCAGGCTACAGTTACAGAAAGATGCCTTTGTAGCTATAAAATTATGAGGGCCAAAGAAGTTCCTAGCACAAGTTTAATTGAACTTCATTGTAGTGTTCGACTTAATCACTGATTAAAAAAATAACCTCTACCAGGAATACTTGTTTTTCTACTGCTCTCTTCAGAAAAAAAATGTAATGTAATTTCTCTTTTAAATATCTTCAAAATGAAAGTGTTAATGTGACTCAAAACTGAATGGAACAATGTTTAGATGGTTTGTCTTTCTTATATCTTGGATGTGTTCATTCAGAAATGACCTTTTAAATACTTAAATATGATGAATAGAATGTTTGGTGTATGTTGTCATTTTAACAACTACTCTGTCTAGTCTGTGTTTGCATTTTAATACAGCTTATCAGGATGTTCAGAAAAGACTCACTGCATGACATACTCACTCCTTTGCTTTTCTAGAAACAGAATTTCCTCACTGCATTTTTCTGTCTTGGTTTTTCACTTCTGCTCTGTGACTGTAGTTTAGCACGCACAATTTTTTTTTTTAAGAATTAGTCATCTATAAAACAGGAAGTGCACTAAATTTTCATATCTGAAAGCTAATTACATGCAACAACAACACATGGTATGTTTTGCTTTGTATGTAAATTTTGTTAACCAAAAAGTATTTTACAGATCAGCAAATCAGTTATAGTGATTTTACTTTGAGGTATTTATTTATGGTCATTAGTTTGTCTTTCTTTTTTTTTTTACTCAGTACTGTCTCTGTTCATATGTTTGTTTGTTTTTTAGAAAGCAGACGTTCATGTGATTTTATATAGTTTAACAGAAAGCCTCAAACAGAGGTCTGTTTTGTACTCAATGCCTCTTAAGAATTTTAAGCTCAGTGTATGATTTATGTGACATTTACAGATCCCTAGTGGTCTACGGCTTGTGTGAACACATGCCTGTTTTCTTCCTGGTGAATTAGAATGCATTTCAACCAGCTGCAGTTAGAAAGCCGCATTAACAAGTGAATGTGTTTGTTTGCTTTTATCTACTGAGTAAATTAGAAAAAATGTAGAATAACATAATGACTGCGTGGTGTTGGACAAAGCAGCTCTTTTATCACCTTTCATACGTGTGGAAGAATATCATTGAGAGCACAGACTGACACGACACTTCTCAAGTTACATGAAAGTAAATTTTTGAGTGAAAATGCATTTAGTTTGGTGAGCTTATCGGTCTGTTTGTTTGATGCGTGACTGTCTGTGTGCTTGCCTCAATGTTGGCTTAAGTATTTTACTCTCTCTCTCTCTCTCTCTCTCTCTCTCTCCCTCTCTCTCTCTCCCTCTCTCCTTTGCACAGAGACCAGTTCAAATTCTCACTAATAACACAAATAGACAGTTAATAGTTATGCTAATGGTTCTGTTTTGTCTTTAACAATAAATGAAAATATAGGCACAAACTACCCATTAATCCCAATTTCCAGTAACTTTACAAGCATTTTAAAAAATTCCTTGCTGGCTCTAAAGACTTAAAAGACATTGATCTAGCATTTCTCATAAACAACTGATGTAGCAATCTATTTTATAAATGTATGTTACTGATCTAATTAAATTTTTTTATTTGACCACATAATTTTTAATATAAAAAACTCAAACTTCTGGTGAAACAACAACATGTTCTCTGGATACACATGTCAAACTTCTCCTTTTAGTCTGTGTAAAACCCGCACCTCCTCAATCTGCAAGCTTGCATTCAGTTTTGAATGCAACCAAGACTACTTTCATTCCATCACGACTTGAAAAGCGATATTAAACTGCAGTTTCAAGAAGGGATTAATCCTCCACAAGTCATAGTACATTTTTTCTTGAAGCTGTTGTTTCACATTTACTTAAAGTTAGTAAATCAAAACTGATAATGACTTATTTTATAGCAGTTGCGTCAACAGAAGCATTCTGAGTATTTTGAATATATGTCAACAAACCCTAACTTGGTGCTTCAGATAAGCTTGATCAAACAAATGTGCTAAGTTCCCATAAAGAGGTGAAAGTAATATAATTTTGAATAGTTCAAACCATCTGCATACTCTAAGATAAAAATAGTAAGATTCAAACTAGTCTTGATGGTTGCTTCTGGTCTCAAATTCCTTCAGTGGTCCTCTTGGTCCTGACCCCTCTAAAACAAGTATGTCTCAGTCACAAGTCACACAACCTATAAAGCTCAATCCATTTCCTTTAGTATTGCACATCAAAAATGTACTCAGGCCTGCTGGTGATTAAAGAGCTGCGCTCTCAAATAACCCTCCTTGGCCTCTTGCTTGTGATCACTGGAAATGGTGAAATGCTTAAGGATTATCCTCTTTGTATTGCTTAGAGCCAGCGGGGCGGAAACTAACCCATCACCTCTCACTGTTTTCCCAGAGAGACTGAAACTTGCGGCATAGTGCCTAACTCTAAAAATTCAGCCTTCGACTCTGCTGCTTCTTACACAGACTATATGTATCAAATGTTATAAAACTTTCCTGTGTGTGTCTCTCATGCTAAGACCTCCGCCGAAGATGGGTCGAGCACGGCTTTGAAACATCTGGAATATGTAAGCTGCAGACATTTTATGTCCACTTATTTTTTTACCACTTTTGTAGAACATGTGGAAATTTCTAGGATTCTTGTAAATGTCTGAGCTTTACATTTAGTGATGTTGACTGGCAGTGAGGGGCTGCCAGGTGGGTTTGACCATTGATTAGAGCTCATTAGAGATGATTAGTGTGGTTCAAAAGACATCCAGGATCCGGCGCTCAGCAGCATTCAGCGGGGAGTTGTGACATATCCGCAGTACTGTGCCAAATCGCCCCCTCCCACCTGACCCGTCCCACCCCGCCAATGGAAGGGCCAAATGAGCCCAGACAGCAGTGCTGATTGGTCACATGGGGTCTAAGGGTCATGCCAGAAATGTTTGCATGTGTGTGTCTCTTCTGATATATGATGTGTGGGGTCTCAGCAGTCCAGCTCAAAGTCGTGTTGCAGTGTACGAGATGAAAAAGCAACATCTTCACTTACTTCAAGAATTAAATAGCGTGGAGATGACAGCCTGAGGAAAAGCCTGATGACTCTGTCTGTCTGTAGGTACTGGAGGAGATTTCATGCTACCCGGAGAATGCAGACGCTAAAGAACTGAGACGGATTCTAACCCAGCCCCATTTCATGGTGAGTCACAGCAGCACAGTGCTAGTTCTGTTGTTAATCTCTTTACAGTACACCTTAAAGTCAACATGAAGTCTAAATGAACCCTATTTACTTTTTTAATGCAGTTCCTGGTCTTGTTATGAATAATTAATTTGTGCATGTTATTCCTTGTAATATTTAATCAAAATGTTATACCTTGTTTTTCCACTGAAACATCTTTTTTTTATGCTGGCGTCACTTGTGTTGGCTATTTGATAAAATAGTAGCCAATAGCCAAATATCTGTTTAGTCATTGTTTTAATTTGGCTCTGGTTACATTGAGGTATGAATTGCCCACTTTTCACCGTCTAATGGATTCCCACCCTAACTTTTTGTATACTGTTGGAAATACACCAACAATCAAAGTGTTTTTTTTTTTTTATTAATAATTTCATTCAGCAACAACATAATAAAGTGACTAAAAATGACAGTAATGACATTTCAAAAAAATAAATGCTGTTCTTTTAAACTTTATATTCATCAAAGCATCCTGAAAAAAAAAAATTGTATCATGGTTTTCCACAAAAGTATTAAGCAGCACAACTGTTACAGAAGTAACTTTAGGAATCTCAAAGTGATCCTCATTATCATTGTAGTGTCCGACTGCACTGCTAACATCATGAAGTGCTGTGAAACAACAAAAGTGGAGTCTTCAAGCTTGATAAAATTTCTGTCAGCAAAACTATCTTTGAGAGCTTAATTAGAGCACTTGTACTTATTTATGAGGCTTTATGTGTTGGATCTATTTATTCCGGACGTTGTCAGCGGTCTTGATGTTTCACCATCTCAGACTTTGCATTGTTTTTCTGTAATCCTCTTCTGTAATCAATGAGGTGTTTGTTAGTCATCTGTGTTCAGAGCATTATTTCTGTGTTTTTATCAGTGGGACAGACAACCTCATGACAGATGAAGCAGAGAGTTTGCCCTTCGCTCTAAACTGACTGTTTATCAATAAGGTTCATCTAGAGGCTTAGTTGATTAAAGGTTCCACACTTTTTTTGGTGTCTAATTTTATTTTCAGGGGTTGTATAATGAGGAATAAAATCCTTGATCTTTCAAATAAAACAGAAAACATGTTCTAACTTTCATAATTGAAACAACCTTTTGTCTAAAAAGACCATTTATTGATACTTTAATATGACATAATTGTACAGGTTTACCTTTCAGTCAGAGGTGATAGTGAGGGTGAGAATCGTTCGTAAGATTAAAAGTAGAAAAACAGGAAAATCTGATTCTGTGTGGGAGTCAAATAATGTTGCATGGAACTGAGTGAAATTAATTAAAATTGTCTCTGGCATGATCCAGACTGCAAGGGACTTATTTGGGGGCTTTTTACATCATTTTTACTTCCACTTGAACTGGGGATTTACTACAGAACTGAGAAAAATAAAGAGGGAAGGGGTTAAAAAGGAGCTCATGCATGAGAAAACGAGACTGGGGTGATGTCAGCCTCACTAACTCTGAATGTCAGGTCAAGAGTGGGGGGATATGGGGCAGAAAAGAAAAAAAGCACATGAGAGGAGGGAGGTACCAGCAGGTACTAGCTGTTGAATTCCAGCATGACATTGCCCTTGATGCTTTTCTCACACTCTCATAATTGCACACAAGATAGTAGGATGAGATGAGCTGGTGAGAAAAATGTACCTAATGTTACTGAAGTCTATTACATTTGATTTTTAGGAAGGCAGACATCAGTCATAAAGCATGATAATAAACTAGATTTGTGCACTAACGTTCAAAAGTTTGGGGTCAGGTCAGTAAGATTTTTATTTATTTTTTTTTAAGAAATTAATACTTTTAAACAGCAAGGATTTATTAAATTGATTAAAAAGTGACAGTAAATACTTTTACATTGATTTAAAAAAAAAAATCATTTTCAAATAAATGCTGTTCTTTTGAACTTTCTATTCATTAAAGAATCCTTACAAATATATCACCGTTGCCACAAAGATATTAAGCAGCACAACTGTTTTCAACATTGATAACAATAAAAAATGTTTCTTGAGCACCAAATCATCATATTAAAATGATTTCTTACGGATCATGTGACACTGAAGACTTGAGTAATGGCTGCTGAAAATTCAGCTTTGCCATAACAGGAATATATTACATTTTAAAATATATTTAAATAGAAAACAGTTATTTTAAATTATAATCATATTTCAATATAGTAGTTTTTACTGTATTTTTGATCATAATAAATACAGCCTTGGTGAGAATAAGAGACTTCTTTCAAAAAAATTAAAAATCTTACTGAAGCCAAACTTTTCCACAGTAGTGTAAACGTGAGGGTATTTGCACAGCTTGATGCCTTGATTGGTTACTAAAGCATTTTTCTGTGATTGCTAAGGTGATATGTATAAGATTATTTATTGTGTGCTTGTGTGAAACTATCTCACTCTTTATCACTCTTTTTCAGGCCTTACTTCAGACTCATGATGTTGTGGCACATGAGGTATACAGTGACGAGGCGCTGAGGGTCACCCCACCCCCCACATCACCATATCTCAACGGAGACTCACCTGAGAGCACGAACGGAGACATGGACATAGAGAACGTGACACGAGTGCGCCTGGTTCAATTCCAGAAAAACACTGACGAACCGATGGTATGAGTTCACACATTTCCTGTACATGTACACACGCATATACAGTATCTCACAGAAGTGAGTACACCCCTCACATTTTTGTAAATATTTTATTATATCTTTTCATGTGACAACACTGAAGAAATGACACTTTGCTACAATGTAAAGTAGTGAGTGTACAGCTTGTATAACAGTGTAAATTTGCTGTCCCCTCAAAATAACTCAACACACAGCAATTAATGTCTAAACCGCTGGCCACAAAAGTGAGTACACCCCTAAGTCAAAATGTCCAAATTGGGCCCAATGAGCCATTTTCTCTCCCCGGTGTCATGTGACTCATTAGTGTTACTCGCTCTCTGAGGATCTGAAAAAAATAATTGTTGCTGAGATGGCGTAGGCTATAAGAAGATTGCCAAGACCCTGAAACTGAGCTGCAGCATGGTGGCCAAGACCATACAGCGGTTTAACAGGACAGGTTCCACTCAGAACAGGCCTCGCCATGGTCGACCAAAGAAGTTGAGTGCACGTGCTCAGCGTCATATCCAGAGGTTGTGTTTGGGAAATAGACTTATGAGTGCTGTCAGTATTGCTGCAGAGGTTGAAGGGGAGGGGGGTCAGCCAGTCAGTGCTCAGACCATACGCCGCACACTGCATCAAATTGGTCTGCATAGCTGTCGTCCCAGCACACAAAATATTGACACTTTGGGTCCGATTTGGAAATTTTCACTTAGGGGTGTACTCCCTTTTGTGGCCAGCGGTTTAGACATTAATGGCTATGTGTTGAGTTATTTTGAGGGGACAGCAAATTTACACTGTTATGCAAGCTGTACACTCACTACTTTACATTGTAGCAAAGTGTCATTTCTTCAGTGTTGTCACATGAAAATATATAATAAAATATTTACAAAAATGTGAGGGGTGTACTCACTTCTGTGAGATACTGTATAAACCTAAAGACTGCATAGCATGAACATGACAACAGTTTCTAGTGGTCCACTTTCAAAGTGTGCAAATGCAAGCTCTGCACATCATATATCCTGTGTTTTGAGGCTTGGCACACATCTTGTCACCCTGAGCTGATGGTGGTGTTGATTAATCTCTCACAGTGGTTACATTTTATATCCACTTGTTAGTCAAACTTCCTGAAAGCTCATCACTGTGGTTTTAAATGAGTTTGTGGGCACTGTTTCAGGGTATCACGTTGAAAATGAACGACCTGAACCATTGCATCGTGGCAAGAATAATGCATGGAGGAATGATCCACAGACAAGGTACATGCACCAGATGGTTTTTCCTTCAAAACTTCACCCAACACTGCCATCTTTCCTGTATTTCTTCTTTATCTCCATAAACACATGATTAATTAATAGGAAAGAGATGCAACCCATTATTCTTCACAAACCCCTCAACCCATATTGGGTTGCCACATGTGGCAGGCTTGAGGGCTTGTGCCGTCACCCCGTGATGGTCAGATTGCACAATCTCCTAGAACTTGGCAGAAACGTGATACTGATGTACAAGCCTTTACCCACATGCCACACACACATGCCATCAACAACTATCTCCTACATGCATGCAAGCGGGACAAGCTTATATTAAATCCCATGCAGTTAATGTTGTCAAGTTTTCAATTTATGAAGGTTGTAAGACTAAGTGATGTGTATTGATGCATTTAAAATGTTGTTTTGTCACAAATTAGGAACTTTGCATGTTGGAGACGAGATTCGGGAGATCAACGGCATAAGTGTAGCAAATCAAACAGTGGAGCAGCTTCAGAAGATGCTTGTGAGTAGGAACTTGTGTATTTTCAGCTCAAAAGTTACGATTTTGTTACCATTTTATCACCCTCACGTTGTTTGAATTATGATTTTTATACTTTCATTGAGGTATCCAGCAAAATGTCCAGATTTACAGACCGCAACCAGTAAAGTGCACTAACTGTACCAACTGTAAAGTGGAATGGGTGTAATGTGAGAGGCATAAGCGTTGCAGTGCAGTTATCATGATTACAGTTAAATAAAACAAAAGACACATCTAAAATAACCAAGTTACATTGATTTCATTTTAAAAATGGCCACAGACATTTATCACTTAGATTAATGCAGATTAACACAGTCTACTTTTTCCATTCTGTGCCCATTTGTTTTATTGTCTACTTTTTCCATTGTTCCTTGAAAAAAAGAGCGATATGAGGATATATAGACATAATCCAGTAAAAATGCCCTTTTTTAATAATTTGCTTTTTGTTTTTCTGTTGATAGCGGGAAATGAGAGGCAGCATCACCTTTAAGATTGTGCCAAGCTACCGCACACAGCAGTCGCCCTGTGAGGTAATGGACACCGTGGCATTGGCACTGTCCTCTGCTCTATCTCTGCCAGTCTCCTCTCTCTGCAGTGCTGTGGTTTGCCTCCCTGGCCTGTCGTGGCCTTTTGTGGTGGGGTTTGATTGCCGTGGATTCTTGTGTGACTAACTGCCTGCCTGATGGCTCCGTGTTAACGCTTTTCTCCCCAAAAGCCTCCATCCTGCCGGACCAAAAGGCCTGGCTCAGACACTACCGCACACCAATTTCACAACCAAGATACCGGAACCCTAGCTTACATATTACCGGTGTTGAGGGAAGTTTAGATGTACAATGTGAGAATGTTCACAGACAGTGTTGCAGCATTATTTGCAATTTAAAAGTGAGTCTGTACTGTGCTGGTTACAGAAATAAATTTTTCATAACAGTCCCCTGCCGTAACACACTACTGAGAGGATGTTGAAATTAAAGTGGTCCGATTTCATTTGGAGTTCCTTCACACAGTAAATCTCTCAAGGAAGATGTTTACATTTAGGCAGTTCTGTTGGCTCCCCCTTCTGGTGGGAAGCTGCAATGCGGCCTGATGATCAAAACATGTTTGCTTTGGTATCTGTAACATTACCATGCTTTTAAAATGTCTGTTTAATAACTTTAATCTCAAGCAAATCTTTTGGTTTCCCTTACATGATGTCCCCAATTTCTTACCGCAGTGTTGGCTAGTGTCCGTTTGCTCTGCTGTTTCGCTGACCTTTATATCTTATTACAGAAAGAATCCCCCTCCACCTCCAGACAGTCCCCTGCTAATGGCCATTCCAGCATTAACAGTTCTATCTTGGTAAGGATCCCAGGCAACCTCAAATAACGACCCCCTTCCCACCCCCAACAATCTCCTAATGTTGTTTGTGATTATTTCACCCCGTTCTTGCAGTCATACCCTCTTAATTTTCACCAAATGTTATTACATTTGTGTAATGTCCAGTTTTATGGTTTTGTTTTGTTTTTCCAGTTTGTTTTTATATATTTCACTAGAATATTTTGACGATCTCAATAAACACAAATGCAAAGACTGAACAAGACAGCGGCTAACATCCATTGAACATAGTTTCCGTTATCTCAGTTCGCAAATTGATGTGCTCTGTGCTGCTGTAGCTCTCTCACTCTGACTGCCAGTGTGAATACAGTGTGGGGTCCCAGGAACACTGTACAGTGGACGTGGGATCTACTATTATACTTTTTAATTCCTCTTTGTTACCAGTGATGTATTGTGGCTGACAGGAAGCACAATGATTAGACCAAACTCAATGGAGGCATGCAAAGGATTCCTAGCATAAATAAAAAGCATGCATACTTCTAACAAAATGCAGTGAGATCTACATTAGCACTGCATATGAACTAGGGGTGGGCGATAAAGAAGTTGACATGATAAATCAATATAAAAAATCAAATAATATCCATTTTGACTATTGTGTTGGGTACTATGTGGTCAAGAATGGGACTCCACTAAGCCCTGTCCCTTTTAGTTACTCTTATGCTGTCAAACTTTCCTACTAGTTACAGGTGCATCTCAATAAATTAGAATGTCATGGAAAAGTTATTTATTTATTTCAGTAATTCAACTCAAATTGTGAAACTCGTGTATTAAATAAATTCAATGCACACAGACTGAATTCCACACTTTTTCCTTCCACTCAACTTTCTGTTAACATGCTTGGATACAGCACTCTGTGAACAGCCAGCTTCTTTGGCAATGAATGTTTGTGGCTTACCCTCCTTGTGAAGGGTGTCAATGATTGTCTTCTGGACAACTGTCAGATCAGCAGTCTTCCCCATGATTGTGTAGTCTAGTGAACCAAACTGAGAGACCATTTTGAAGGCTCAGGAAACCTTTGCAGGTGTTTTGAGTTGATTAGCTGATTGGCATGTCACCATATTCTAATTTGTTGAGATAGTGAATTGGTGGGTTTTTGTTAAATGTGAGCCAAAATCATCACAATTAAAAGAACCAAAGACTTAAACTATTGAATTTATTTAATACATGAGTTTCACAATTTGAGAGTTGAATTACTGAAATAAATGAACTTTTCCATGACATTCTAATTTATTGAGATGCACCTGTAAGTTTGCAAAAAGTTTTGGGAAGTGGAATTTATTTATTTATGTATTTAGATATATGGGTATATTCTTAAAAAATATTCTAAGTAGAAAAAAAAATCATCAATTAAATACAAGTATTTATTTAAAATATTCAGATTAAATGTAAACATAAAATTACCGTAATACACAATAATAATTAATATGAATTTATTCAATTATTTCATTTAAATATTCTTGCAAAAAAATAAATGTACAGTAAGCTGCTTTTGTTGCCTTTTCCTGCTTTTATACTTGTTTACATAATTCTTTTTTCAGTAAAATTTAAATAAACTCTGTAAATATATATTTTGACCTGCCAAAATTTGAAATAATGTTTGCTAATATCACCCACCCCTGCTATAGACCCAGTGGGGACCCACTTGGTGTTCTTCATAGAGGGGGGTTAGTCTCCACCTCATGAACATGCTTGAATGGAGTATGGTGCTGAAGCTGCTTGCTTGCTCCTTGCTTTCTTGTGTGTTGCTGTTCTGAGATTTACCCTCAACAGCCCTTCTTCTATTTTAACAAATGAAGTAACTTTTGTGGTCCTCCTTTGTGGAGTTAGCATTGCCCCCAGTGGTTTTAACCAGATTTTTTGTTATGTTTTGTTGAATGTATATTTCTTTTCATTGTTATCGTTATTAATTGTTATTTAATTGTTTCTTGAGTCCTGTCTTTCCTCTGTAAATGGTCAGTCTCTCTTTCACTGCTGGGCTTTGCTTTACAGGACTTGCCGTCAACCATCCAGCCAATAGGACGTCAGGTGAATAGAGCATCCATCAGTCTTAGCACCCTCTATTGACTAGCGCTTTTCCACACTGCTCTTGTGCTTGAGATTGAATGAACAAGTTAGTGATTCACCGCTATTAACATCCTGCTTTCTCTATCAGTTTTTGTACTAACACCATTCACCATTAGCTGCTCTACAGACAGACTTGGTTGTAGTGTTATTGCATTGCACTTACTCAACAACAAGACTGTAAATGCAAAGATATTGTTATTTATGCTGTTTTTTAAAAGTTTACATAAATTTCAAGGGGATTATCGTTTTAACATTAATTTTTATTCTTACAGATGGGTTATTCTATGCGTTGAACCAGTTGAGAAAATATCAAGAACATGCTTTGAAATTTTAATTAAATGCAACTACTTAGTAGCATTTTACCTTTAGTCCATTTAAAAATAAATGTTTATTAAATGTTATTTTATTAATACATTTTTTATTCATATTTATTTATTTAAGTTAAATTCTGTGTTGTGACGAGTATCCTCACAAATAGTAGATTACACTAAAGATATGAAAAAGACAGATTACACTAAAGATATGAAAAAGACAGTTTTCTCAAAAATACCCATTTGAACCAACTTTTTAGAAGTCATATCAACTCCAAGACAACTATTATTCAGACCCTGTTAGACTTTTAGCTTAGGTAAAAAAAAAATTTGACATATGTGACCCTGGACCACAAAACCAGCCATAAGGGTCAATTTATTTGGCCGAGATACAACTATTTGAAAATCTGGAATCTGAGGGTGCAAAAAATTTAAAATACTGAGAAAATCGCCTTTAAAGTTGTTGAAATTAAGTTCTTAGCAATGCATATTACTAATCAAAAATTAAGTTTTAATATATTTACAGTAGGAAATTTACAAAATATCTTCATGGAACATGATCTTTACTTAATATCCTAATGATTTTTGGCATAAAAGAAAAATCTATAATTTTGACCCATACAATGTATTTTTGGCTATTGCTACAAATATACCCCAGTGACGTAAAACTGGTTTTGTGGTCCAGGGTCACATATTAGATTGGTGAGTCTATCTTATCCTAACCCCATGTAGTCTCATGCTTTTCTACTTGCCCTGGGCTACAGAGTGGTGTGTGTTTCCTCTTACATCCATCTAAATTACTCTGCAAATCATCAAAGCTGATCAGAGAGCCCATCACAATTTGTTCTTCTAGTCTCTAGTCCTTGCCTTTAAGAATCGTGTCCTAATAGGATGAGAAGTAGAAAGGGAGACATACAATCAGCAGAGGGCGCCATCTGCCAGCACGGGTCCATCTGTGTTGGCTGAAGTGCATCACTGAGCGCTGGAAATGATCTGCTATGTTACAAGTGATGAGAACAGAATGATATATATGACTGATATCTCCACCCTGCTTTGTTCCTTTTTTATCAACCCATAACTTTTCTGAACATTAGCTTTATAGCTGCATTCTTCATCTCACCAACCCCAGTAACAGTGCCGTATTAATGCCACCACAGTGCCGTGATATTGCATGATGTTTGTAATACTCTCATGCCCTAGATCTCCAGACCTCCAATCAAGGATACATTTTCCATAAAGGTAAGATTTTAAAGAATGAGCCCAACCCACTGCTCTGAAAAAATGTTGTGTAACCATTTAAGTCCAAATGTAGCAAGGACTCGAGAACAATTACATCACCAGTGCGATTCTTGGAAAATATAACGTTAAGCTCGATTTTTGCAGTGTTTGTACTTAAAGGCCCCTTTCAGTCAATTCAATGTCATTTATTTTTAATCCAGGAGTCACACACCACTCTACCCTCAGACTGCAGTTCAGTACCCAACTGCACTAAAGGTCCAGCAAGGACTCATAACTCACTCTCATGCATACTTACATGCATCATCTGTTTGCCAACATGCTCAGTTTTCATACCGTGCTGCTTCAGCCAAGCATGCCTATCATCTCAACCGAAACCTGATCTCCTCTTGTACCCTGACCTCCTCCATCAGTCAGTCCTTTCCTGTGCTGTGTCTGTGCCACTGTAGGGTTTTTCTGACTTCGACTGATTATGGCTTTTCTCAGATCTATGTACGGGCACAGTTCGAGTATGATCCAGTGAAGGATGACCTCATCCCCTGTAAAGAGGCAGGGATTCGCTTCAGGGTGGGTGACATAATCCAGATTATCAACAAAGATGACCATAACTGGTGGCAAGGCAAGCTGGAAAACACCAAGAATGGCACAGCAGGACTGATTCCCTCACCTGAACTTCAGGAGTGGTGAGTTAGGTTCTTTCCTAGAGCATAATGACCACTTCAATCGTTTCTTTTGTGTGTATGATGAAAACCAGAAGATTGTGATTGGCTGCTGCTGAGGGTAGAGGGAAAGAAGATACAGTACAATGCAAGTCGCTCGCAATACGATTTAAAAGCACTCGAAGATGTGCTATCATCAAGGCTAACAGATATGCTGCACACTAACCACATGTTCATCTAATTGTTTCTTTTGTTTGTTTTATTCTAGGCGGGTGGCCTGTATAGCCATGGAGAAAACCAAGCAAGAACAGCAGGCAAGCTGTACTTGGTTTGGCAAGAAAAAAAAGCAGTACAAAGACAAATACCTAGCAAAGCACAACGCAGGTAGAGTTTCCGATGGGCTTTCTGCACCTTCCCTCTCTCTTCATACAGACAATAGCTAGATTTTGGTCGATCAGCTCTTCCTTATTGGAGATCTAATTAGTAATCTTTATGTCCCCCGTAAGCAAGAGTAAAATCGAATAGGCTTCTAACACTGATGTGGGCGTATGACATCACAAAAAATAGCAGCTCTCAGGGAGATGTAAACAAGTATTGATTAATGATAAACATTCACTTTTAAGAACTTTGCTGCCTTTTTAGCAAATGTTTGTCAAGATAAGTGTGTAAAACACTATAGGGTCAATCATAAAATGACTGCCTTTTCTACTTAGAAGTAAATTAATATATAATATAAATCAATATATTATTCAACATTTATCTGATAGAATGCATAGGATCTTATAAAAATGTAATACGATTTTGATGCATTCTACCAGATAAATGTTGCATTGTGCCATTAATCAAAATAAATAAATTTTATTATAAAAATTGTACAGTATATAACATACATATATTGTTTTATATTATATATGAATTTATTTAGCTTGTGGTATATGTTTGCAGTATATTCTGAAGTTTGGGGTGAGTAAGATTAAAAAAAACTTTTATTTGCCAAAATTCTATAGTGTGTTAGAAAAGATTTCTATTAAAAAATGCAGTTCTTTTGAATTTTCCTAAAAGATGTATTGTAATATATATATTAAAATAGAAATTTGTTATAATATTTCACAATTTTTTTAACAATTTTTTTTTATCAAATAAAAGAGACTTTAAAAACAAACTTGCCAACCCCAAACTTTTGAACAGTAGTGATTGTCTTCGGAAAGACGAATTTTTAATTTGACATTTATTACAAGTATTGTAAGTTGAAATTACAAAATGACACACTTTTCAAAAAGAGAATTTAATGCTGGTATTTGAATGAATAAATATCTACTTTTTAATTATGATTTGTTTACTATACAAAAATATTAGTAACAGGATTGGCATATTTAGATTAGTCCATTACTGACAAACATATCAAAGCAAAAAATAACATTTTATTTTTCGCTCATACGAGATCCACTTTATAGAATGACCTGGTAAATTATTCTCTTTGTTGATGATCAAATGCTAGAATTGACTGTTTGTTTTTAATACATCATTACTGTTGTCAGATACTCATATGATCAGAAGCACAAGAGAACACTGTTGTTGATGGTTATTGCTAACACTGTCAGGAAAAATGCATATATGTCTTTTTTACATCAGTGACAGTCTATAATTAGTATTATGTTTATATTAGTTCCTGCTTTTCAGAGACAGCAGACTTTACCCTCATGGGATGGTTGTCAGCAGATGTTGCTAGCAACGTCTTCATTGAAGGATTCAAACTGTAGTTTAGAGGCTGTAGGGAGTGTCTCTGTGTGTCTAGTGGTAGGTATGGGCAGGTAACACGACCCTGTGCTGTCTAGCTCAAATAACCCGAGGTCCTGACTGCAACATTTCCACAAATAGCAGGGTGACTTGTGCCAATACATAGCCAAGTAGCTGTGTGTGATTCTGCCTGCTGTTCCCTGACCAAACAGTCCCTTAAGAGTCTTTCATTTTGCTTCAAGTACCAAAGGGGCTAATTAAAGCCAGCCACAGTGGAAACCTGGGTCGTTATCACTGATGAGCACACCTGCATATGCAACAAGTGTGTTTATGTGTGTGTTCTCATGGGGAATGCAAAGCCATAAGTGAGATGCCCATGTTTTCCGTAATAGTGTATGGTTGCTGGGAAAGGGCCAGGGGAGAGAAAAAGTGTCTTTACTATGGGTAACTCATATGTCATGGTGAAGTTCATGTGTTCATCATGGCTTCAGGTCTAAACCAACACACAGCCTCCACAGATGCACCTGTGTATGTGCTCTCGGATGTACTCCTCCTGCTTTCAGATATACTGTTGACTGGATGCAAATTTTACAATCTCTATATAAATCGATCCTGACACTATGAAAGGCAGCAATTACATGATCTCGTTAGAAGCATGGTGAACCCCACCGCTTTTAACATCTTATATAAGCGAGTCATTTAGGTCCCGCTTCAGTCTGCAGTACTAGCTATCACAGGGTCAGGTTACTACCTTCGAACACAGAGGATGTTAAATGATGCCATTGTTCCTTCTTGTCAAGAACTCCCCAGTGGTGTGGAATAGTTTAAAGATGAGCTTCCCAAAAGGTGGATTTGTTAGTTCAGACTGTAGACACAGTGACGATGACTCCACCGAATCATACAGCCAGAAACTCATTCTGTGCAAGTATGTCAATTCAAACTACATAGCTACATAACCTTGTTCTAGCTACATAACCTTGATTTTGCATTGTTGCATTATGCAGTGTTTCTGAACACAGTTTATAATGCAGGTACACTACCATTCCAAAGTTTGAGGTCAGTAAGATTTTTTTTTTTTGATTACAAAGAAATTAATGCTTTTATCCAGAAAGGCACATTAAATTAATCAAACGTGACAGTAAAACTTTTTATAATAGAACTATTTCTATTGCAAATAAATTCTGTTTTTTTTAGCTGGAATCCTATCACGGTTTATACAAAATTAATAATAATAATAATTAATAATTCATTACATTTATTTAGCACTTTTCTGGGTACTCAAAGCGCTTTACATGAAAGGGGGGGAATCTCCTCAACCACCACCAATTTAGCAGCACAACTGTTTTAAACATTAATAATAATAATAAATGTTTCTTGAGCACCAAATCAGCATATTAGAATGATTTCTAAAGGATCATGTGACACTGAAGACTGGAGTAATGGCTGCTGAAAAATCAGTTTTGACATCACAGGAATAAATGGTGTTTTAGAATATATTAAAACAGAAAACAGTCATTTTAAATTGTTATAATATTTCACAGTATTTTTGTTTTTACTGTATTTTTGATCAAATAAATGTAGCCTTGGTGAGCATAAGAGACATCTTTAAAAAACATTTAAAAACCTTACCGACCCCGAGTCCCCAATTTTGAGTGGTGGTGCATGCTTAGAATTCGTAGTGTTGCAATGTGTTTTGGTGAAATGTAATGATTAGCTTTGATTTATCATTGCACTAATGGCAAAGTACATTTTTGAAATATTTTTTGTATTATTATTTCATTACTATTGCCCCTCAAAACTACACTCACTGGTACATCTTTCTAGTATTGAGTTGGACCCCCTTTTGCCTTAATTCTTTGTGGCATAGATTCAGCTGTTGTCTTGTGCGGTTAAGTTTGTCTACTAGTGTCATGGCAGTTGGTTTTAACACAGTTATACTGAGAAAGTTAAAGTTGTTTCAATTTTTAGATAACAATGTTTCAAAAATTTGTTGGCGAAGCATTTAAATCTGCATTTTCCTACTTGCATCAAATGTTTCTGGCCTAAGGAGGCCCAACGGTAGATCTGATCAGATCTGGGCCGCTGGAATCAGTGTTCTCTGAGCACCCAATCACTTAGGTGATCAAATAGGCTGTGTTGAGCACAGCCCCCTCAGCCATCAGCGGCGGGAGCGCAGATCAGACATAATCCCTCCTGAGCCCAGTGCCCCACTTTACTGAGTCTGATTTGAGCTCACTCAAGCCGGTGTCATACTTTCCGCGTGCGCGAGTCCGCTAGGGTCCGCTATAGTATGCGTGACGTAAAAATCGTCATCGGAGAGTGTGCGCGGCAGTGTTGCCAATTTGGGGATTTTGTCGCCAAATTTAGCTACTTTCTCATTGTAGCTGCGACTTTTTTTAATTTTTTGCGACAAGGAGCTATTTTAGCTATATTTAAATAAAACTAGCGATTTTTTGGAGATTTTTTATTTTTTACTTGGCCACACCCTGCCGTAGGCTCGTGACTTCTCACGTTTGCTCTCAATCATGCCAATGAGTCTGCGCAGTGAACACACCAGTACGCCACGCCTGCCATGACGCACACCACAATTTCATTATAAGCATCAATCAAGATCAATGGTTCTAGAGATTTTCTGAGGGAGGGGTTTGGCAACACTGGTGCGCAGAGGCTCTGCGCGGACATGAGCGTGCCTCCCATTTTTTGTGAGCCTGCGGACAAGTACGCGGTCAGTAGGCTACAAAAGCACCAACTGCGCATGCGCAGGCTGTGTGAAGAAGCCCGTTGCTACTCGGACCTGTACAATCCGTCGATAAAACAATATAAAGACAGCCAGATGTGCAATAACTGTGGGCAATTGTTTGTTCACATGTTTGTTTACTGTTCAAGCCTATCTACTGCGCATATATGGAACACGACCACGGAGCGGACCATCAGCGTATGCCTTTGGTAGTATAAATACAAGTAGTCCGCGCTGTCCGTGTACGCGTCTGGATTGCTTATGCGTAAAGTATAACACAGGCTTTAGCCAGTGAGGCAGGAAATGGGACTCTTTGGGGTATTACGGCCTTTTTTCAGGTCTCGTCCAAATTCCTCCAGGATTGTTTAATTGTCTAAAACTGTTTTGATTTTGTGGGGTTTGTCTAAGGCAAGGAGCTTTGTTACAGTTGTGCTTTGGGCTTTTCCAGCTATAATGTGCAGGTTCAGATAAGGTTAGGAAGGGAAATATGAAACATATGTTTGGGGATTTTCCAGTAGATAGCAGTTGGTAAGGACTTGTCCTTCACCAGGAGAATTTCATCTTTGCGAGACAAAAAAACAACATTGCACCAACAGGTTTATAAAGTAAATAGACCTCTATTTAAAGAGGTGTGTATCTACAGGCCAGGAAGTGCTTCTCTCAGTTATGTGTGAAAGCAGAAGGGGGTCAGTGGCTTAGCTCAATGTGTGTACAGTTTTGATGTCCTGTTAGCCCCTCCCTTTATTCTGTTCAATCCTAGTAATTTCAGCATTGACACACATCATCTAAATCTACTTTTCATTGTATCATTAAAAACCTGCTAGATTATGTTTGTTTTTATTTTGTCTCAGGTTTGTTCACACTGCTTGTTTTTCTCATAATGCACAGTTTGTGCTACATACATGAATGA